GAAATCTAAAGTAATTTAATCAAATGCTTAATGGAACAAGTCTTTAACTAATTTCACATGTAAGATACAGGCTCAGCTTTAACTCCTGGTTCTAAGTCTTCTCTTTACTAATTAGCTGACCAATTCCTGTTGTAAGAGCTCCATCATGGTGAAGACATTTAAAAACTTGCTACATCTTCCTCCAGTATGACGTGGATCTGATGTCTCAGCAAGTCACAAAGTAGACATTCATCACTGTTGATTTCCCTGCAACAAGGAAGCAGGAGGAAGCAAACAGAGGTGTCAAGTCTGCTGACTAACATGTAAGAGTTCTGAGTTATAGACCCATCTGGCTGCAACTGAGACATTTTAGACAGTATAAAGGCAGTGACTCACACTGAAGATTATCTCTATTTTCTGGCCTTAAAGTGAAAAGGCAACTGATTGGCTGAGATGTATTAAGGACTTAAAAAATCAACAAAAACTTTGAAAGAACAGACACTGGCTATATTTACATTTCTCATTAATTCTACTGTCAGTTTGTGGTGCCAGGAATCAGCACTTACAAACCCTCAACCTTGCTTCCCACCCAGCACACATCACACCTGGCCTCAATTCCTCTCCCTGCAGGTGGTGGACCACATGGCGGCAGCATTCTGTGGTTTCTCCACGTAAAACCCGGCCAAGCATTGGGAGCTTAGGCTCAACCATCAGAAGCTTGAGAGTCGACCTGCCCCCCAGGCCTGGCTCCAGATGGGTGCTCTGGGGTTTTCTGATTGGCGCTTTGTCAACAGTGATGAGGGCATTGCTCTGAAGCATAATGGTAGAAAAGGAGGTCAGCCAAAAGGCAAAGCTGTAAATGTACTGGTACTTCTATCTTCCAGAGCTCACCTATGCTCACAAGATTTGGATCAAGACTGAAAGAGCGAGATCCAGGATGCAAGTGGCTGAAATTTGTTTTCTCTGTAGGGCGGCCATAGTTGGTCCTCAGGGGGAGCTCAGAGTAGAACTGCTGCTCCTTCTCAATGAAAATACTTCACTTATGTGGTTCAGACATCTGATCACAGGGACATCCTACAAGAAGGAGCCCCCCCAGGGTAACTATCAGAAGGAAGCATAGGCTGGGGATGGAATCCCCCAGGAGGAGCTGCAGAGCGGAGACGGTTGTCTGGATATCCATCATTAACCTGCTGCCCTTTCAACCCAACTTCAGACAAGTGGTTGAAACTGGAGCAGTGGATTTGTAAATCAAATGTTCCCGGAACGCAAATACTGATGTCAAACCAAAGTTCGCTAAAGGCAAAACAGATGCCGCAACACGCACGGGGGGCGAGGTGTTTGGACAAGTAATTAAAATTGTACCCACATTTTCTAAGTTAACACACATCTCTTCAGTGGCTGACTGGTAATCGGGAAAAACGGGAGATATCCCGGCGGCCTGGCCGTTAAACTGGCTCGCTCAGTGATTGCTGGTCATGCCATGCGTAATATCTAAATAAGCAATCCATCATGCAGCTCATCAGGGCATCTGATGTCCTGATACTCGCACAAACGGAGCAAACTGGGCACAAAGACATCCCCTCCTCTCACTTTGTCGGGGCTGGGATCCTGTTTCCCCAGCGAGAGCAGCCCTGTATGGCGCTCAGCCACTGTAGCCACAGGTGGGAGGGAGATCTTGGGAGGAGCGCAGAGCACATTGACACCTGCAGGTTGAAGACCTCCCCAGGCTGACGTCCAGCAATCCGAAGGCAGGGGGGTAGGTCAGGTTTTCACAGCATCTGTCTGCATTCCTTCGTGGGGGTTTGTTGTTGGCATTCACAAGGCTGCCATGGCGTCAGATTCGGATAACAAGACTTTGTTTGGGTCAGGCAGAGATAATTTTGCTCTCTGCCTTCAAGTCTGTAACTGATCATTCAAGTCCTCCAGTGAAGCCAATTCAGGTTTTAAACATCTCCACACCATCTGGTGACCCTCTCTGAGATGACATCCATTTTGCGCACTACTACCGGTAACACAGCTAGAACATTGTCCAGCTTACGATTCACCTCGAGTAACGTCCCAGTCTGTAAGGTCTCCACACGAACGGTGCTTTCTGTGGGTGCGGGATGCCCTCCAATCGCTCCCGTATTCCCAAATTTCCAGAAAACCAGATATCCTCCCACTCCAGTCAGAAGAAATCCAGTGATCACCAGGCCAAACATCCACACGTCTTCGACGTCCTCAATAGACAACTGGGAGAGGCATACGATCCTCCATTATTTCCAGGAGTCGAGCATATACCCCACCGGGTGTGTCCCTTGCGGGCAAGTGGGAGCCCCTTACTCCATTCTCATCGTTGAAAAAATCTTATCAATCGCATTGAACGACCAATTAATTAAATCCATTTCTAAAAATAGGGTTTTTCAGGAGAAGTGCAGAGAAGCGCTCTGTGGGCAGACAGGACAAAGAGCCTTGGGAAAAAAAGATAAGGGAGCAAAAAGGGAAGCGTCTGTACTCTGCGAGTGCCAGAAGAGAAGGCCTCAAACATATAAATGGTAAATATGGATCGTGAGCAAACACAAGATATAAAAGGAGTGTGCTTCACTTGAAATTTTGTGGCCATAAACATCCAGCTGCTGCTGATCATGAGACAGATGAGATGATAATTCTGGCCTGGACTGATCTGGATTAGATTTCACATCAGCCCTGATGATCATGTATGACATTTCTGTTAAATGCATAAACCTTCACCTCTGGCTTATTTTGTCTTTGGTTCATAGCCTTTAAACCCCTAGTGTTGCTATTGGTGTTTATATGAATATTATGAGGAAAACATCCATGATCGGAGGGTCATGGGTTCGATTCCAGCTCCCGCCAGGGGTATCCTGCTGTTGTGTCCTTGGGCAAGACACTTCACCCAACTTGCCTGTGTTAGTGGTGGTCAGAGGGGCAGACGGCGCCAAATGGCAGCCTCGCCTCTGTCAGACCTCCCCAGGGTGGCTGTGGCTACAAGTAGCTTACCATCACTAGCAGTGTGTGAATGTGAGAGTGTGTGGAAAGCGTCTTTGGGTGTCTAGAAAAGCGCTATATAAGTTCAATGCATTATTATTATTATTATTATTATTATTATTATATACTGGTCTGCCAGTATATATGGATGTCAGAGATGTGTGCATCTGCAAAAGGCTTCTTCCATTGTTGATGCTGTCCATTTAATCTGTGCCTACTACGTTGCAAACCTAAATGACAATAATGATGCACTCATTTAGCAATGGGGAGACCCTCCCAACCTGATCCACTTTTAGTGTTTAGTGTGAATTGGGCAGTGGCCTGGGATGGTTTCAAAATTCCCGGCCTGAATTAATGTCCCAGTGCCCCCCACCCCCACCCCGCACAGCGGCCGCAAACTCACTGATGCGCCTGCAGCCTCTCAAGAGTTCCTGCTGATCTAAACATTGAAATAATTATTTCATTTTCTGTTCCTCACTTCTGATTACCTTCAGTGGTGTCTGTTTGTTGCAACCACCAGGTACAAAAATGAACTTGTTTTTTATGTGACTATTTTTCCTGTCCTGCCTGTTTATTATCTTCCTGCATCTCCTCTCAATCCTAAAGAGAAACTGCTTCCTGCCTTCATATTTTTTCACCTTATGAATTACCTTTGAACTGCAGTTCTAAAAGATCTACCGACCGCGAAAATACCGGAGTGCACGCTGACCGCACCAGTGAGGTGAATTCACCGGAGGACAAAACAGGTGATGCTCTGCCCCGCAGCAGTGAAACGCATCAGGCACAAGTAAAAGACAGAAAGCACGAAAGGATATGAGCAGACATAAACGATCGCGTGTTAAATTGTCTTTGAGGTGGCGACACTTTGAGAATGTTACTGTGGCCGTGCTCAGGACGCATCTGTCTGGAGCGCGTCAACCATCAGAGCTCTGTGCCTCTCAGCTCTAAATAATCCCTGGAGAGTCCACATAGATAATGTAATATAAGTTGAACCAGGATCGTTTCGGGCTCCCCTGGGTGTGCTGAGGGCTTCCAGTTTGTTGCGTGAGTTGCCGGATCCTAGCAGACAGTTGCTGGAACGGTCCTTTCAAAATAAGATAGTTCCCAGATCTTGTTCCGGCAAGATCCGGCTCAAATTAAGCCCTGAATGGATAGTGATTTTTTGAAACAGAAAAATCAAATACATAAAGTAATTGCATTATATACGTTTATATTGCATTATATGTAATTGCATTATATATATATGTTTTTATTTATAATGCATACCTATAAATATGCATATATAAATTTGCAGGTACAGATCTAAAAGATATGTGGAGACGTCAGAACTTCAGAAAACGGTTTTATTATTGTGAGTTGAAAAGTCGATTTCAGCTCCAGCATTACTTCAGCTCAGCAGCCCCGGATAAAAGCTCAGCATGTGATACTGAAACCTACAGTAATTATTCCAAGGGTTTGCAAGCTAACAGCAGTTGCAATTACAAAGACAACAGGCAGCCTCGGTGTATCAGTGGGGCTTGAGCCGAAGGTATCCGTGCTTCTTATTAGAGACAGATGAAACGAAGAAAAAGAACATTATGCATTACCTGGAGTCACTGTTTTGAAACACCTCCCAGTTCGTTGTGTGTACACTCACCTCTGCAGCATAAACACCCGTTCACTCAGAACTGATTGATTAGATATTGAAAATTGTCTGTCAGCATGTTTTAGAGAGGTACTCATTTGATAATGAATGCATCAGCTCGGTTGGAAGCTAATTATACTAGAGACACAACTTGGTTCTGCTGTCTTGCTCTCTCAGCGTTGGCCCCACTGGGAGACAAATTCATGCAGCAACACAACTACACCTCTCCAGCTACACTCATCAACTCTCACAGTAAAGGTTTCCATTGGCCATGCCCCCTTAGTCTACATAAAATATTTGCCCTCCTGCCAGCTGCCAAGACTCAGTCAGGTACACTTACGTGTGCACAGAAAGGCACAAATAAGATAAGAAGTGATAGTGGCAGACGCAGATGAAGTGACGAAGCTACCTGATCTGCAACAGCGCGAGACAGTTTGTCCATCCTGGAACCAGCCTCTGCAATTTTCTTAGCCGCGTTGATCACATCTGAGGAGTTCTTCAGCGGACCTTTGCCTCTGTAAAAGAATTAATAGGGACATGCACATTGGAAATGTGACACTACAACCATACAACAATAAAACCTTTTACATTATTCAAAACTAATATCTTTATCCCTGATGACTCATCTCAAAGATGTTAGTTGGACTAAATTTAATGAAGTAACATTTACTGCATTCACAGCAAAAGTTTTCAAGGGTGTGTGCATGTGTGTGTATTATGTCATTTTTGATATTTTCTAAGAAAAAAATGCTCATTCCTTTTGCTCACGCCAGTCTGAGTAACTGAGGTCAGCGCCACGTAATAATGGTGCAGTCATAGCACCACAGGCACAAACACTCATGACTAATCAGGCCTCTGATTTGCAATAAGCGCAGACTTTTTAGTTTGTTCTCTGCCTTTTAATTGAGGAGTAGATCACCATTTTCACACAAACATCAGATAACCAATTTTCCAGATATGTTAAACTCTGATCCAGAAGAAAGGAAGCCTGATGAAGAACGATGGCTACCCCCCCCCCCCCCACACACACACACTTGTGTTAATTGAATTTACCTGGTGAAATCTGTCATTTCCATCATGATCATGCACATCTGCTTGGCTAGCACAATGATGTCATTGCCATTATCGTCCCACTTGGCAACTTCTGCATCCAGCTTACACTTCTCCTGTCTGAAGCTCTCCACCTGCTCTGCTATCTTCGCCTTCTCCTCCTGTGGAAGCTGTGCCATGATGGCCTACAGGCAAGACGGGGAGACGAAAGCATTAGAGGAGGAAAAGAAACTGAAAATGTGAAGCTGAGCAGAAAATTGAAGCGAGATGGTTTAGAAATAAAAAGAAATGTAAAGTAGGGAGTTAAGGAGAGAGGAGAATGAAAGAAGAATGAAAAACATGGTGAAAAGTGGAAAACTTAAGAAACAGAATATAAATGTAATGCTTATTCTATATTTGCTCATTTTTTTCTGTTTGCTATACGTTTAAAAGCTCTACAAAACTAAAACCCAAAAAAACCTCATGAGACATTTCCAAATGAAGCGCCAACTTTTGCTTTTAATGGCTGGACCTTTGCAAACCCCTTGACATGTTATACCTACAAAAAGTAAATCCTTTTCTGCCTTCATTTTCCCCCTCTCATCTATGAAAATACATTTGCTCTCTCAGCTGCCTTTGGGGGCAGGTCCAAAATGGCATAAATCTTGTGGCGAGGTCACAAGCGCAGTTAGGACCCTGTATTATTTGGAAGATAAATGTATAATTACTTTGCCTCTTAGACCAGAGAATGAATAATGCATTTGTTCAACATTATGTCAGTGAGGTGAAGTGGAATGAAGAGTAGCCCGGTTTCCATTAGGTCGATTCTATTGACTCCAAAGGCGCAGAGAGAGAACGGGTACAGTAAAAACAAAAAAAGAAAAGTCACCATCAGTTTTTTAACCTAAGCTATTATTCACTGTCCTCCAAGAACTGCTATTCTCTTAATGCTGTAATAACCCCATCCTCCTTATCCCCTCTCCTCTCTCTAAAGTTGGTGTGTGGGGTGAGGCCGGCGAGACGTGCGTCACTTCGACCGTGTCCCCTGGCAGATGTGTCGGGAGAAAAATGAAAACAAAAAACATGGACGACTTGTCCTCCTGAGATTCTTTGAAAGGAAATGAGCAGGATTATAGAGGGAGGGGCAGGCGCGGGTATTAAAGAAAAAATTGAAATTACAGACAGAAATAGACCGGCACAGCGGTGCAACTTTTCTCATCGGCAGTCAACGGATTCGTCGGTAAGTTTGGGCCTGCTGATTGCTCTCAGAGTGCAGTGGTGCAAAGCTTTGATGGTGGGTAGTTTTTAAAAAGAAGGAAAAAAAAACCAAATGGTATAAATAAACAAGCAGAACCAGCCCCCCTAAAGCCCAGTGTAGATTTCCTCTGCTGCTATTGCCAAGAAGCACAAACAACAGTGTGGAGGCAAATCCTATTAAACAGCATGTGGGGTGAAAACACTCACAGTTAAAACAAATACCAAGTTAATATGAATTTAGACTGCACAACAAGAAATGAAGAATTCAAAACACAAGTGACTCTAGCAGAGCAACACTTACAGTCATGCTGAAGCTTTGCTTGCATGTGCTGCTTTCACTTATTGCAGCTGCTTCCTTGTTTAATGTGTGATTTTATGTATAATAGATGTGTGTGCAGACACATACGCTGCTGTACATGAACTCAGTCAGCAGTCGAATCCTTCAGTCGTTTACTTTAGGCCAATATTTGACCAAGGTGTCAAAAAAACTAAGAGGTGGTTGGTGGTCAAGCAGCAGATTCGTGTAAAAATAAAAAATAAAAAAAATCTATAAAACCTAAAAGTTGTTCTTTTCAATTCAATTCAATTCAAAAATACTTTATTAATCCCAGAGGGAAATTGATTATGTAATGTTTAAATTTTGATCATTATGGTTTTGTATAAACAAACAAGCCAAAAATGGGGTTTTTCCTAATTCTATGATTAAAGATAACAAATCTTACTACTTTGTTTCAGTTTCTACTTGTTTATTTAAGAGTTCAGCAGAACTTTCAGATTAGTAATCTACTTATTCTAGAATCTTTCCACATGAGAAGATGAAAAGCTGTTTATTTTATGCTCCCACAGTCCAGCTTTTGCTTCTGCAGCAGTTTATTCTTACTCATATTTAGTAAAATACCAGCTGGACCCTAAATAACTTTTTATTCAGAATTTTAAACCATCATGCAAAATCAAGAAACTAGGGGACTCTGAACAGGTCTTTTCCAGTTAGAATTTTTTTTTTTCTGGCTGATATAAACTCTTAAATAAATAATTAAATATTTAATGTTAAAGCTGTTATAATGAATCTGCAAACAAGCTAGGTTTTGAACGCCAACACGGTCACGGACACTCACCCCTCCCCTCGTGCATCTGCCCTGAGACGCTTCTGCCGGAAAATGGAAACCAGCAATGTTGGACCAAACAAGATAGCGCTAAACACCAGTCACCTTTTCTACGTCCAAGCATCTTTTGTTGTGACTTCAAATGGTGTTTTTCTTTTTGGGACTCTGGTAGTTTGTCCTAAAGAAGTGGTAGCAGCCGGCTGTTTCTCCTTCTCTGATATTATTGAGCGGAGAACCTCTCACATCTGTTACTGAATACACGAGTGCATTATTAGTGGAAGACCCAGGGAACTGCAGTGGTCAGCAAGACCGATGAGAACCACTTGATTATTAGTTTTTAATCTCCAAAATATATATTAGAGCTATATTGAACGTTGTTAAGCGGCATGATAAAACGTTTTAAGCTAATTAGTTTTCCACATTTGCTTTAGCAGCTTTAATCTAAAACAACTAAAGACTTTTACCGGTTTTTGTCGTCTAAGCTTGACATTTTGTCATGTCAGTGGCTCTTTGGGATGCTACTTTCTGAAACATGTTGCTGCATAGTGCGTTGTTGTGCCGTGGCATTCAGCAGAACTGTGTGACTTCAGCACTGGAAGGTGCTCAATTAGCATATTTGGTGTTGTTCATGTTGTTCCTGCACCCAACTGTTGAGACATTAATTATTTAAGCTCATTCCCATAATTGAACTCAACTGTGTGCAGCTGGTGTCAAAGGAACGTACGGTTTTACTCGACTCCAATGTTGAGTGAGATCGTGTATATTGAAATGTATTATTTATTCTATGCAGCTATGTCTCTGAGTAGAACGAGAACATTTCCTTTGTGCCTAAGACAAACAGTGAACCAAAGCAGACTGCTCTCCCACACGAATAAAAGGAGCTCAAAGTCTCTTGAAACTCAACAATTTAGAGTGAAAATTCCCTGACTTGAAACAGGGTTCAAGGGAGGTAGAGGAGAGACAGGGAGGCATTTGGTTAGTATACCAATTCACTCTGAAAATGGTGTGACAAAAGAGAGCGTGTCAGGGAGGAAAGGGAGAGAAAAGGGGTTTGTGAACGCAAAGGAAAGCTGCAGCACAGGGGTAAACACATGAGCCAATTGGGACGTCAAGGGAGCAGGAAGGCTCTCGGTGCTGCACCCCCACCCACCTCCTCCACGGCTCTCTAGAATTCACTTATCCCCAAATCCCTTCCCCTTCTTTACTGATAACAACAAGGAGCGAGCCTTGGGAGCTTAACATAGTGGCAAATCCAGCCGAGGGAGAGCCGTGCCAATACACTCTGCGACTGGGCCACGTCTGCAGGGATTAGGGAGCTTTCCGGGTTTCTTCACCACGAGCGCTGTCTTGAAATGACTTTAATTTGTTTCATTTGAAATAAACTGCCCAGACACTCAGAGTTCAATTTTATGGATGACCTATCAGCAGGGTTATCCAATCACTGTGTTTAGAACTGTTTACGGTGTGTTTGGCTGCCTGTGAATTATCCACGGCCTGCCACACGACTTGTACTCTGACTTTTGTACGCTGCTCGTTTTTCTTTCTTTCTTTCCTCCCTGTTATTTGTTCTTTTCGGTTTGCCCATTTAATAACTTTGCCTTGTGTGAAAGCACAATAAAAGTGACAGGCAAAGCTCTTCAAAAGTAAAAGCCCATAAGCTCCCAGGACTGCGCTGAACCTGATTAGATTTTCCTGCACTCTGAGAAACAGAAAAACAGCGAGCTTGAGGGGGTAAAACATATATCGGGCATGTGTCCTTTGTGCGATATTCACACAGTGAATGGGCTTGGAGGGATCACAACTGTAAACCTCAGTGTGCTCATATCAGCTCCTGTGGAAAAAAATGGATTACACTTCCCCTTGTCTGTTTGAGGAGAAAGACAGAGCTCTGGTTTGGACTAGCCGGGCTGCGAGAGCAGAGCTAACTTTATCCGGACATGACGAACTGCAGCAGACTGAGCAGATCACCACCAGTTTACAGGAAATGCCTCTTTTATGGCTGCACTTGCTTTCAAAATTTCACATCTCAGAGGGCATCGCACTGTCTGGAGGTGCAAAAACGGGTGACATCAAACAAGGTGAGAAACTTTGACGAGATCTTTGGCGATAGGAAATGTAAACTACATGTTGTGAAAATCTACACACTGTTTTTTTTTTCTCATATGTCCCCATCAGAGAGATGTGTTAATTAATCTTTTCATTATGGCACTGGAGTTAGAAATTATGACAAAGAGACATGTTGCAACTTCAAAATGTTACCAAAAAATAAATAAATAAATAAACTGCCCACTCGAAGCTTTACTGAATGCCAAAAATAAATAAATAAATAAAAACCTAGCTAACACTTGTTGCTGTGCTTCATTGTGTACAAGTGTTGATGAATTTTAGCTTAGATGGCCCCGCAATGTTACACTGCAGGAGCCTTAGTGGGAGTATAAATACACAAACCCAAAAGTACTTCACACACAGAGACCCCCCACAGCCACCTCTAGATTTCATCAAAACGTTAATTTCCAAATAACTCGCCTTCCTCCCTGTGTACAGTTAAGTGAAAAATGTCTTTATCAGTTTGTTAACCTTGGACTAAAGTAACTTTAGATTAATGCCACAGTAAATCAAGACTAAATCAACTTAATTATTTCTATGCCAATATATTTTTAAAAATCCTGTTCAAAGTCATGAATATGACTGTCAAATTACGGCTAGGACCGGTTAAATTAATGCATTAATTAAAGGGTAACTGGCAAAAGAGCACAAAGTTAAATTAAAGCAACAATCCAGGGTTTTCCCCACTTGCAGGAATCGTGTATGATTTTCAGGAATCCATAAAAGTGATAGTCTTACCATGTACTGTGGTATAATGATGGACAATAAAATGTTTTAATATTGCTGAGCCCCCTCAGTGCCTCCATTAAGAGCCCCATGCAATTTGGGTCATTCAGCATTAGCCAACAGCGTTAGACACCTGCGTACGTAAAGATGTCAATCTCAAATCATGCACAGGCGTTTGAGGATATACCTGGACTGATGCAAAGTTGGCAACATTACTTATGGACAAGTAAGTCTTTAGAATATAATTATATGATTAAACAGCACAATGTGAGAATAAAAATTGTAAAACGGTGTGTTTTTAGCTCTGTTGTCCGGCTATAGGTGTGTGTTCATGAACAAAATGTGCTTCTTCCAGCCGTGATAACAGAAGTAAGGAGAAGGGCATACGGTGGGATACATTTTTCTGCCCTCTGACAAAAACTACGGATTTCTGCATGAACTCAGTTGTAAAATAGATCTTTTTTTTTTTTTTAAGAAAATTTTAAATGTTTGAAAGCATCAACCACCTGATTGGCCAATCAGAGAAATGTGATAATGGTAACACCAAAGCAGGAAAAGTAGTGAATGTGTAAACAATAAAACTTATGAATACACATATGCTAACGAAGTAGAGACTGTTTAAAGGTAACCACTGGCTTGCTGCTGTTTGATGTAGCTTTAATGCAGTGATGCATCTAGGGCCCACTAAAGATAAAGGGTTGAGGTTTTATTTTTTAAAAGCCATCATTATGTGTGTTTTGGCTGTACAGTACAGAAGAGTACAGTACAAAAATGAAATAAGCTGCTGCTGCATTGATTGGATTTATTTCCCTCTTTTTTCTGAGCATTACCCCAATGAGTGCCGACTGTACAGAGACCCAGGCAAGTCTGGGCCACAGGGAGAGGAATTGAGCCAAGTCACACTCCTGCCATCCACAATCCATTCAACATGCAACACACCGCTAGAGCCTCTGTGTAGCTGGAGGGGAGCAGGCACTGATACCCTCTTAATGTCCTTTAAGCTGGGCCCCAAGTGAAAAATTGCTAATGTGCAACAAAGCTCAGACCCTGGCGATCATGACTGAGGCCTTGGCATGGCACAATGCTACATTTTGGGGAGTGTCTGAGGGGAGTTGAGTAATTACTATTTTGTTTGTGATTGCAATTTTACACCTGCCACATCCCTAACTGGAGTTTATTTCAAATAGTGGTGCTTGTTGGGATCATTTAAATTCAAGTGGAACTAAGACCTGATGCATGTGCAGCTGGGGAACTGCGGAGGGTGTTGGGAATATAGATGGTAAATTTCTGCTCACCTCTTAGTCAAACCAGACACCCTTTCTTCATTCTGTCTATTTGTTAGAGATTCTGGGACACATCAGAAAAAGTGCAGCACAGCGGGAAGTCAATATCTGCTCACCCGGGCGCTCTGTCCTGCAATAAGCTGGTCATCTTCAGTCTGGACACTGGTCCTGCTGCGAGTATCATAGTCTTCTTGTTCAAAGTCCGAGTCGTCTTCAAGCTCCTCTGGTGTCTGCATGAAGCACAAAGACAAAGTCAGGGTGTAACATTCAAAGGTAAAGACAGGGAAAGGGAAATAAAGCAGAAATACTATTCCTTACATCGACATCTCAAACCTGCAGTTTCCTTTTCACTTCAAGATGGATTGTAGGAAAATCTTACATTCTTCTCATACATTTGTCAGCATTGTTTTCAGTAGGCAGCGCCTCAAATGGAGTTTTAATTCAAACCAAACCCGGCTCACAGACAGTGATGCAACATAACTTAGAATTAAATTGTCTGAGGAAATGACTCAAGAGGATGTGTGTTGAAAGCTCAAACAAGACAGAAAAAATGAGAAGGGTTTAGTATATATGCCTACATCCCTCAAGCAAGGTCTCCGGCCAGAAAACAACTGGGTGATGGACTTTAAAAAATGTAGAAATGCCAAATTGCTTCTTAATTAAAGGAAAAACATAAAGCATGTGGAATTAGCGCTGGTGAAGTGGGGAAACGATTACAAAAGAGATAAAGCCGGGTGTAGTGAGGTGTCATTCAACTACACCAGAGAGTGTTTGTCTATTCGGTGTGTTCTGGAAATTTACATCTGAGTATCATCCACATGTTTATTTAGATCTGTTTGCTTAAGGGCTGGATTAACAATGTTTGGGATGTTAATCTTTATTGATCCTTTAATAAACCTCAGTAGTGTGAGTTTTATGTTTTAACTACTCTGCCTCTGGACCCCCCCCCCCCCCCCCCCAAAAAAAAGATCTAATCGTAAATTATGCTCAGGTGTAGCTAAGTAAAGCCAAGCTGACATAGACATTGTCTTCACCAGTAATGGTTGATGTAAATGATGCTTTTGAGGATGAACAACTACAAGGGCCTATCTACGGTATGACATACAACTCTAAACGAAGTTTACGTTTCTTCACATACAACAAAGAACTAGCTTAGGAATCTAGAACAACCGTTGCAGTAGCAAACATTTTGCTCTACAGGTTAGTTCAGCTACGCTAGCTTTAGCAGATATACCACTGGCCCGAACAGTTTTGTGTCTTGTTTGTAGACAAGCTTAGCTCTAGAAGCTGCGCTAGAGAACATGCACCAAGATGGCACCAGCTTAGGAACGGTGCTCGTTCGAAACGGTTTTTGCATCAACTTTAGTTGATATATACTTAAGCCTTTCTTTGAGACAAGAGCAGAAAAAGCTCTTGGACCGCCCCGTTGACTGAAATCCGTAGAGGTGAGTATATCACGTTGTTCACTGATTGGTCCAAGCACTGTCCAGTTGTGTGCAGAAACAGTTTGAAAGACAACTGTTGATTCTGCCTCTTAACTGGGGAGGTGGGGGGTGGGGGGTGGGGGTGGGGGGCTCATGGCCAGACTATACATTTACATATGGCTTGCCAGGACAACAAAAACAGCTGGTAGATTGTGATGAGTTTTTAATCACAAACTTTGATCTATTTGACTGCTTATTTGATGAATTTTATTGATTATTAGATTATTTGATTTGGTTTTTTTTTTCAAACATTGATTATCCTTTAAATTTTTTTGACACATTTTTTTCTAAAAAGATGAAACTTTTCCATGTTCTGGTCAGTGTTGGGAGAGTTACTTTTACAAAGTAATTAGTTATAGTTACTAATTACTTTGTCAAACAAGTAACTCAGTTATTTACAGAATTACGTGATTATAAAAGTAACTAATTACCTAGAAAAATAACTACTTAGTTACTTTTTTCATTAAAGAATGCAAGAAAAATGGGTTAATTAAACTTACTTAATTTACTATAAATTACTACAATAGTGAAATATAAACGACTAATGACTGGAACATAATAAAATGTATGTCCAAATGTTTTTATAAACCTGAATAATTTAAATAAATAAGCACTTAACAGGAGGAACTACTAACAGGAACATTACACTAATCTAGACTATTAAAAGGTCACTGTGTGATTTTTAACAAGACCCCAATCAGGTAAAATTTAAAATTGCAAATATAAACACCTGTAAAGGTTCCTGAGCCTTTAAATGGTCTCTCAGTCTAGTTAAATTACAGAAATAAATGTAAATTTGCACAGTGTTTAAATTTCCCAGCTTCACATAATTGTGTAGTAGCATTTTTGTTGCTGCTAATCTAGTAACGGTTAAATAAATAAATAATAATCCTTTAAAGCGACACTAGAAGAGGCACAAGCCTGATGGAGGACTTAAATGTACTAACTTGGGTCAGACCCAACCACAGAAGAGCTGAAGCTGGGTGGTAAACACACACAGGTAGTTCTAATAACACCTGAGCTCCATGACGTCTGAGACTGATGCATCAGTGTTACAGCGGGACTAAAGACATGATCAGAAACAGGTTACAGCTGGATGATCTAGAAAGGTAGAACATCAGGACGTCTGAGCGGTGAAGAGGTGAGCGGACCTTCAGGATGTCCTGCTGTCACGCTAAGAAGGGCATAGACTATTCATCACGTCTTCCTCGTTCTTCACGGGCCGTGATGTGTTTGGATGAAAACATCTGCCTCTTTAGCTCCTGATCAGCTGATGACAGCTTCAAGACACCGCACTGCTTAACGCATGCTTTTAATTATCAGTAACAGAAAGGAAGGTTTAGATAAAAGAAGACGGTAATTAATTAGTTTGCTCGTTACTGAAAAAAAATATTAGTTTAGTAACGCGGTTATTTTAAACGGCGTTATTCCCGTCACTGCTGTTTCTACAGCATGCAGTGACTGCGACACTGAGGGTTTCCGCCCACCCGGCCAATCATCATGGTGTTTGTACGTGCGTTACCGACACCTCTCTCTCCCTGGCTGCAGCTGAAGTGTGGCGGTCAGAAAGCCTCACACTGTTGCTCAACGTTCGACAAGCACATAGTAACGAACAACCTTCCATCCCCAGTAACGGTAACGGCGTTGCAACAGTAGGAAATGTAATTAATTAGATTATTCCGTTACCCAAAATAGAACGCCGTTAGTAATGCCGTTATTTTAAACGGCGTTACTCCCATCAATGGTTCTGGTCCATTGTGTCAAGTTTGCTTTCACTTTAAATAGTTTGACTCAGTGTTGCTCTTATCAGACACAAACACATTTATGAAGAGGGTTAAACTAGCTACCAACAGGATGGCAAAGCTGGGTATTTACCTGGGTTATTGGCTTTAGCTATGCCATTCAGTTGGTAATGGTCGTAACACATGGTTACTTCTTAATGTGTAACAAAGATCTGCAGTGGGACTGGGCAAAATAACTGCCAGGAGCTAGCGTGTGTAACTTGGGGGCAACCAGAACATATGGAGGTCAGCGTGAATCTGGTTCTTTCCAACCGACACCAACAAACTGTGTTGCTTTTTGAATTTCACTGAAGTAATGTAGCACACAACCGGACAAAAACACTGCTTGCTCATACATAAAGATTGTGTGAAAACATGCAGCCCCCTCATTTGTTTCAATGAGGTCACAATGTGACGCAGGCGAGGTGCCAACTCAGATGGCTGGTTACCTAGGAGACTGTCCACTTATGTGCACAGGATGTTTCTGCTGTTTACCTCCTGGTCATTCTGACCGAGAGTTAAATCATTTGGAGTTTTTTATTTTTATTTAATCATCCTTTTACAAGCTTGTAGAAATCCTGCTGTCCTGTTATAAAGCCATGAGAAGTGTTAGGCAGCATGATCCCATCCATGCAACACTTTCACTTATTTCAGAGCAGGTTGATTTCCAACACTCTGGCCCATATCATGCTTGTCCAATTGCTTGTTTGCTGGATGTTAAAAAATATCTTGTGCTTACCACTTGGCTCTTTATCTTACTATCTACCCACTCTAAATATTCAGGCCCTTATGTGGGTATGTTGAGGCCAACCAAACAACTTTGCTTGTAAGAAGTTTTATAACCTTGCTTTCTTCTGTAGACCTGCCTCACACCGTGGAGAATCGGCTTCTTAATCCACTGAGTTCTCACGACGTCTCAATTCCAAAAGGAGTTATTACTCGGTTTAAGTGGGAGAGAAATTACACAGGAATTTTAAATCCCTTATATATGGCGCCAACATTTGCTTTCTGTATGATGAAGTCAAACAACTGAGAAAGCACAGAACTTCCATGTTGTTTCCTCAGAGAGTAATTGAACTTGGATGGGATTATGAAGCCAGCTGGTCCCGGGCAGTTCAAAGCTGCCTGTTTTACATTATTTACCAACATCAAATTATTTTCCATAATTAGATTTTTTTTTCCCAAGCTGCACTGGGAAAGCTTCCAGCCTGCATAAAGTTGAATAAATGAATTACACGGTGAAAAGAGGAGGGCCAGTTTGGGTAAAAAGAAGAAAAAAAAGTGGATACAGTAATATCAGTGTGTGTGTGTGTGTGTGTGTGTGTGTGTGTGTGTGTGTGTGTGTGTGTGTGTGTGTGTGTGTGTGGCCGTGGAGCTGCCAGTATCTTGTTATTTAGAACCCTTTTTATCATAACAGCTCTATAAAACAGATCCAGTGGCAGATTTTATGTAGTTATGTTTGTCCTCATCCTGAAGGCAGATGTATGTCATGAAATATCAACTAAAGCATGTCAACCAGCAGACTAAAAATGTTTATTCCAAATAAAATGAGTTGTGAAATATTTGTGTTGTAAGTCATGGTTGAGCCAACAAGTCCAAAGTTAGAATGATTGTGAAACTTACATTTTTTTAATTATTATTCCAAATTTTAAAAGACTACAATTTGTGTCCTCAGGTGATTCTAGGCAGTAAAAGAAAATACATGTGTTTTTTTTTATTTTTATTTTTTTAATCAAGCAAGCTCAAAGTAGACTCACTAATGTCCCATTCACACTGAATCAAGACGCTGCTACTTCCTCCATGACCAATTTGAACATGGCTGTATCACTGCAAATTTGGAAGATCTCTATCTTTGACCAGGTAATCTTCACACGGTGGGTACTAGCCCAATAGGTTTTGCTCTCTTATACACTGCATCCCTCCCTAACCTCTCTATACATCAGTAGCTCATTGCCATGACGTTCCTACCAACTTAGGCCACGATTGCTCACAGCACCAATTCTTACACTGCATTAGTACCCACCTATGAGCGGGGAGATTACGCTAGAGCGACATGAATGATATGGTGGAGATGTAGCATATGCAGGAGGCCAGTGCTGCCAATCCTGCTTTAAATACTCAATTACCAAATTGCGCTAATGTTTGTAGATCCAGACGTTTTGTGCATGCCTAAAACAAATGCCATGCTATCACTCGTTAAGACGGATGTATTGTGTTCTTGAACAAAATCAGAACGTAGATGATTTATTTCGGATGTTACATCCATAGCCAGAGGAAGGAGTTGATTAGAGGATTAAAGACTTTTAAGAACTCACAGGTGTGTTTGATTTTAGGACATCTCAATGAATGTCAGTGAGTGCTCTTCAGACGTACCCGAATCATGAGGACAGCTTTCCTGATGTCACGGACACCGTCATACACCAGACGGGACGCGTCAATGAACTCGTTCTCCTCAAATGACTGTGGGGGGTTCGTGCTCAGGGCCTCAATGGCTACCTCCACTTGTTCAGCAAAACGAGGCATGACTGTAGAGGAAAAAGCAAAGGAAGTGATAGTCATCGATTTCTTTTGGATCAAATAAATGCTTTTCTTACTAGTTAAGTTTTAACCATTCACTATTTGGGGTCTCTTGCCACCTATTTAAACCTTTTCCAGAAGTCTCTGCTTGCGTAATACATGAAAATGAGGGAATCCACACCAGCATCTCCAAATGACAACATGCTATTCAGGCAGTTTCAGGTTTAAGTTTCCAATTGGTTCCTGAAAGTATGTGAATGTGTAACCAACCTAGGAGAAAGCCGTGTGTGTGCTACAGCGTTGCTATTGTGTGAGCCCGGGCTGTCAAATCATAAAGTCAATGAAGGGAAACATTCATCAAAGTCTTTTGAGCCAAATAAAAGCTGCCCGACAAAACTCCATATTGACCAGAAAAATGGCGGGTTTTGTTGTCAGGATGAACTGGCGGGAGCTGATGGAGAAGCTTTGTGCGTTTTAGATGAATGGTGCCGGGTGTGAATAGACATCGTTTAATATTGAAGAAAATGTTTCAATATTTAGCAGGGCTATCTTTTGTATGAGATCTCTTGTTGCGCCATAATCAGTGTGCTGAAGAAAAATACCAAAACACAAACGACGCTCTGAGTAGACGGACAACTGGCAGTCAAAGAAGGTCTTCATCTCTTTCATTGTCCAAAGTACTGTTTCGAAAAATCTCTTACTGTTACTAGGTTGAATATATAATGAATATATATATATATATATATATATATATATATATATATAAGAAAACAATTTTACCTATATATATATATATATATATAGGTAAAATTGTTTTCTTTTAGTTTAAGAGAAAAAAGCCTAAAAATAAAGATGCAGCTTAAATTACTGTTTTAGTCATTTAATAAATGATAAGTGATGATAAATTACCCAGACTCGTACAATGCTTTCCAGAGCCAGAGGACTCTTAAAGTGCTTTCTGGTGGAAAAAGGTTTTGGCTGGGTTAGAAAAATAAAAACTACAAATTTGTACCAATAAAGACAATTATTTTTTTAATATACAGCCATTTGGATTGATTTACAACAGCATCCTTTTGGTAGGAGAGACCCATTTTTACGAGGACAGATGGATGATAATAAAATAATAATAAAATATGGTACGAGACAAATAAGGTATGCTACTTGGCTCGTGAGCCTCAACCAAATAGCCAAGTGTGTGATTTTATTATTAATATGCACATTTTTATGCTCTCCTACATTCAAAGTGAACTAAATCAATTACCCGTCTTGCACTAAAGGTGGATCTGCAGTGTACCTATTTGTTTGATATAAAGCAGGAGTGATATTTCACCAAAACGTAAACGGCACTACAAAAAGCCTCTCTTCTTTTTTCTTTTCTTTTTTTAATTCAGTTTAATCCACTTACTGGCAGAAGCGTAAAATAGGCTTTTGGGAATTGTTGGGAAGGCGTTTTAAATAGAAATATTTAAATGTTCTCCGAGCTCTTAATGAGCAAAGTTGCTGGTAAGAAGCAATTTCACTCATTCCGGTTGAAAAATGATGAAGGGAATTAAATGTGACCATGTAGGAATGGATTTTTTTCACCCGCCAGGCCTGAGTGTAGTTAAAGGGAGAAGTTATGGAAGTACAATAAATGCACAAAAACTTCAAAGCTGAGATGGCACGCCCCTGTGAAGCATTTAAATACACACACACACACACACACACACACACACACACACACACACACACACACACACACACACACACACACACACACACACACACACACACACACACACACTGCCTCTACTTTTTTTTGGAAGTGTGAACCCTAATTTCACATTAGGGTGGCTCAATTTAGACACTATATTATGGCAGGTTAGAGCAAATGCACTTAGAAAGTGAAGCTGTGTGACAGAATGGAACTCTATTCATCAGGGCAACTCCAAATGAAGGTGGTTACTCCTTCTGGAATGGATTATGGAAATGGGCAACTGCCTGCTCAGATACCTGCCACAGCCACTTAGATATTGATAACATGAGTTAGGCTGTGGTTTAGCTCTGATTGGCTGGAAAAGAACAAGCTACTATAGGTTACTTATCTGTACCATACACTACAGAATTTTCTTTTATTCTACACAAATGTTTCCTCTATTCCCTTTTTGACTCGGCTTCTTTAATGACTATAGAGCTCTGGACCCCACGTGACTCTCAGTTAGTAGACGCCATATTGGCAGGCAAAAAAAGGTAAACAAACACGGATCGTAAACATGAACACGAATGGGATCGGCTTGGATTTTACTTCGTCTGAGTTTACTTCACACTTTAAAACCGAAAAAATCATTTTATCTAGCCAGAAATTAAATAGACTAAACATCTCCGACCCTTACTGTGCCCCTGGGATACTTTTTAAAAATGCCAGAAGCTGTCGGAGCGGACTTCTTACCGGACCTGGCCCAAGTGGCTGAGAGAGGGAAGTCTGGGCCTCTCGACGCTACTGCCCCCGTAACCCGACTCCATATAAGCGGATGAAAATGGATGGACAAATAACAGATTTACACGTAAGTAGTTTAAATAGAGTGCTGTGCTGTTTGAATGTATAAACTGAACGCCAAGAGAAATCACTAGTTTGATTTTTTTCCCGTGAATAAAATAAATATGTCAGGCAGGAGCGTCTCAGGATCTGTCTGAGATCTGTCTCGGTGAGACAGATAACAGCAATCCAAAGTGCTTCTTATGTGTGATCTGACAATTGATCAGCCATTGCTTAAAAATTAATACAGCTTAGCTGGTTAATTGCTGTGATCATAAAACACGTAAACGGCAGCACGCAGAAATAATGAGGCAAAGATTTACGTGCTGTTTACCTGCTGCTGTGAGTAATAAGACAGAAAAAGCCACAGCAAAATAAGTTTAGGAAGCCCACTAAGAATCATAATAAAAGCATTTAAAATAAACACCATACACAGTCGAGGAAACGTTGGTTTAAGTACCTGATATGAAGCGGTCGCTGCATAAGTGAAAATCTTTACTCTCGGGACCCCACAGTTTCATTTTAGCCCGGTCACTAGCGCGTTTTATTACAATGATCCAACGTTTGCGGCGCTCCGGATCTTGGGGAATCCTGTAGAAGGCTCATTCCTTATGTCGTCCGCGTCTGTTCTGCATCCTGGGGCACAACAGGAATCTACCATATTTCCTGTTTGATTGAGTTTTCTGACAATAACAAATAGTCCAGCTGCGGGCTTCTGCATGCCAATATGGCGCCGTTGAGATTTGAACTGTTGCATGCCGGGAGAAGTGACGTCAACTCCCGGAGCTCTATATAACGGTAAAATGGTGGCACCACTTAATAAAGCCCCACAGTCATCATCACACACTGGTGAAATTACATCTCCGCATTTGACCCATCCCCGTGGGGAGCAGTAAGCTGCGGCTGTGGCTGTGCTCGGTAACTATTTAGTGGCTTAACCTCCCAATCCAAACCCTTAAATCTGAGTGTCACGCAGGGTGGCATTGGGTCCTATTCGGGTTTTAACCCCGATCTCCCAGTCTCAGGGTGGACGCTCTACCACTAGGCCACTGAGAAGATTAAAACAACTATTTTTGCCAAATAGGTCTACATTTATTTGCACTGTTCATTGTTGCAGCTATTTGCCATTTAACTTAGGATAACTAAGTCTTCCATACACTAATATACTAGGACAACAGTCCAAAAAATTACTAGGGGGACCTGAAAAATAAAATGAAATTGCACCTAATTTTGCCAAAAACTACACCTCTGATTAGCATTTAATAATGCATTTAAGATTTAATAACCAGCCTATTTAAAGACAAGAATCAATTAGATGGCCTTTTTTTAAAACATTTTCTACATTTAATTTAAAATCTTCGTTCATTTCTTCTTTTATACATGGTTTCCAAACAACTCAAATCTATCCTTTCTTCCTAAGTGCTCCACTTGACTATTTAGACTATTTTTTTCATCAGTCATGAGCGCTCAGTTGTTTTGTTTTGAGGGACTCTATTTCAGGAACAGCATCATGCTCACAAGTACAACTGTGAGAGGTTAGTACTTTACTGAAGACGAAATTACTCGTGTATATCTGAGAGGTATTTGGTTCAAATGGATAAAAAGGTCTTCGGGGAAAAGGCGAAAAAAAGTTTCCTTTAATCGATGAATATGGAGTGGTTTTTGTAGGAAACATGTTTATTCTCCTAGTTATGTGCTTTCAGTGCAGTGTCATGTTTTATCAACCACAAACCAAGACCTACAGACAAAAACTTGAGAGTAACAGATGAAAAACATGATCTAATCAGGGTTTTATTTCTTGTGTGTGCAGCTCCAGAAGCATAGAAAATGTTTAGACTGAAGCAGAACATCATTAAAGTGGTCGCTGCTGTGATCTGTAAATTCATTTAAGGGATTCTGGTAGCACTTGTCCACAGCTGCCTGCTACTTTGTTAAAAGCTGCTCTAAGTTCATTAATCCCCTGCAGCCACCTGAAGGCAGCGGGATGCGTTTGTTGACAGATCTACATCGCCTAATTTGAAGAATAATACCCCAAAGTGCAGGGCCATTCGCTTTGTTTACCTTTTGTTTAATCCCTCAAAAACAGCCCTGCTTTTTAAAACTATGGGCCACATTTAAAGGGTGATGTCAGTTTTTAAGAGGAAAAATTTAATTTTTTCACAATTTAATTTTTTTCTTTCTTTCACTTTTAATGACATCTTGTCATTTTTACAAGGATCTGACGTAGAAGATGTGACTCACATATAGTGCCAAAGTGCTAGAGCAGTTTGTTTTCTGGTGGCCTGGTAATGTAGAAAATTCACTGAAGAAAAACTCTTTTAAATGACGTGTGGCAGCGCCTCCATTGGCCCAATGAGCACATCCGCCTGCAAATCTGCAGAATATCACACCCAAACAGGAAACGAGTGCATACATTTGCATCTTTGATAAGATCCTGCAGAAATGAATGAGAATTATCGTGAGACCACCATCCAAGGGCCACAAAAATCTGCT